CTATCGGAGATGCAGGGTGGCTCGATCCGTGACTACGTCAGAAGATGGTCTTGATGTTACCTTGTCTGTCCGGTCGGCGGGGCGTCCTGTTATACTTCGACATTGTGCACACTCACTCACTCACCCTAGCACGCACGTGTGCAGTATCATAAACACCATTAACCCCTTTCATCTCCCCGCCTCATCTACGAAGAAAAGAGAGTTAAATAGGTTGAAAAAGTTCAGATCACATATATACTTAACGGAAAAAGAAAGTATACAGTTACGTTTGATGGTGGTTAAGAATGAAGTCAATAAGTGAGTGAGTGAGTTTAGTTTTACGCCGCACTCAGCAATATCCCAGCTATATGGTGGCGGTCTGTAAACAATCGAGTCTGGACCAGACAATCCAGTGATCAACAGCATGAGCATCGATCTACGCAATTGGGAACCGATGCTATGTGTCAAATAAAGTCAGCGTGCCTGAAGCCAACAAGAAATCGATAGTCGATGATGATGTTTTTGATACGGGTATCACTGGCGATAAATATCATATCAACAGATGCTTACGCTCCACATCTGAAGGAACATTGGGATCGCAATTTCACACTATGCAGTAATCATCAGATTGGAGTGTGAAATTTCAAGTGTGCACTTTCTTTTGCCCGTGAGTTTAGTACAGTCACTTATGTCAGGAACAGTCTTGAGAGGTACCATCGTGAAAAATGGCTCTGTATGGGTGTTAGGACACCTTCGTTCAAAATTAGTGAATCCACAATGTGTACATCAGGGCCTATCCTTCCAGCTGTTATGCCCATCCAAGGCGAAGAAAGTCGCCTTCAGCGCTCACGCCGACACTTCTATAGCCTATTCAAAACCTGTGTTGTGAATATTTGCTTTTAAATCGCCTGGCTTCAGATTTATGATTGCCCGTGTGTCATAAATTACCTACGAGGCAAACGTGCGTTGATACCATCACCAGCTTCAATGGATGGACAGACTGAGAGTGGCGCTCAGACTGGTCGCGGCTATTCACTCGACGCATTACCTGTGAATAGGTACCGCCGGCAGCATTTGTTACTACGGGTTTCCATAGCGAATGTGGCAAGGTAATTATGCTGGAAAGACCCGAAGCGTACTTGGTAATGTCTAAAAGCATCATCGAAGTTCCCCCATTGATAACATTTGTGTTAAAAATTACTTCCTCGATACTTGAATTGTGTTTTGTTCTTGAAATGTAAACAGTGGGACAATGATATTATATACCTGCCTCGTGCTGGATATAGAATAATAACATCACACCTGCCCCATCTCATCATTGTCTAACACTCTTAAGGAACACGGATTTTATAATCGAGAAAATGTGTTTTTACCAAATGTTTGGATAACTGACAAAAACACCCGTGGCTCTATGTTGTTCTAGTCGTGTTTTCAATTCGCTGATTAAACGACGGTTTGTACATTGCACATGAAAAATAACCAAGACGACTTAAATGTTAAACGACTGCGTGAGATTCAAATGTTTTGATTGAAATAAGTGTGTTTTATTCCTTACAGGGGTGACAACCTCATTATTGTTAATGTCGATGTTAAATACAAACTTTCTGCTTTATGGAAGTACTGTATAAGTGAAATTTCTTTGGCAAATCATAAGAATGCACACACAACCAAACCAAGTCGGTGGCATTATACTAACCAATTAGAAAAATCAAATAAAGCATCATGAAATATAACAACACAAAATAATGCGGTGTTTAAGTTAAACCACCAACACAACAATACTGAAGATGAAAACTGCCTATATCAACTGAGACATGAGGAAATGAGAAATGGGGTGGGTTCATTGGCAGTGTTTAGAACTATGTTTAGAGCTACATGTATGTTTAGAGCTATGCTTAGAACTATGATTAGAGCTCTGTTTAGAGCTATGTTTAGAGCTATGTTTAGAACTATGTTTAGAGCTATGTTTAGAGCTATGTTTAGAACTATGTTTAGAGCTATGTTTAGAACTATAGAGCTAAGTTTAGAGCTATGTTTAGAACAATGTTTAGAGCTATGTTTAGAGCTATGTTTAGAGCTATGTTTAGAACTATGTTTAGAACTATGTTTAGAGCTATGTTTAGAGCTATGTTTAGAGCTATGTTTGTTGCATTCATATCATCCTGGAAACTTGTCGATAACGTTCGTAAAGTTTTGGCTGGATATTTTGCTGTTTAACTGATATGAGAGGGTTCGCGAATAATATCAGTGTATTGTTTGCCTGCATTATGACACTGTTTTGGTTTGTCTTCTAACCACCCAGACAATAATACAAGCAAGGTTCTTTGTGTACAGGAATTTTATATATGAGCGAGCGAGCGAGGAGGGAGTGAGCGAGTGAGTGAGTGAGTGAGTGAGTGAGTGAGTGAGTTTTATTTTTCTGCCCCAAAACAAAAAGCATAGGCTGTTAAGATTGTTATCAGTATGGCACAGCTATGAGTACTGACAGATTCATAATATGGTTGAATATTGGATTCGAACCTACCACCAGTAGATCCGTTTTTTGTCAGCTGGGCTAAACGTGTTCCCATACAGCCTAAACTAGCTGTTACACTTCTGAGAAAGACCCCATATTAGGGGTGGGTATTGCAGAGAATATTCATATTGCGATATATTGCGATGCGAAAGCATGTATTGCGATATGTATTGCAATATATTGCAGGAAGTATTTTTACACAAAAAACTACTTATAATCGAGTTACTGCCTGATTTATAGAGCAAAAACACAACAAAATCACTATGCTTGATTAAGCTTTAATAACAAATTTTAATCATGATAAAATAAAAATGTGAATAATATTTGGCACAAATGAAAAAAGGAAATATCCGAAGATTTCCCAGTGTTACGACGTTTTCCGAATGCAAGTCAAAATACCGGTTTTCGATCAGCGTATCGCAATACGTATCGTTTTCATGTCTGAACCGGTAAATACCGGTAAACCGGTTATATTGCGCAGCCCTACCCCATATACCTGACGAACCTGTCAATTATTTATACGCAAAAATATAATGTTCACAGACTAAAAGTTTAACATGAATAAACTTCCTAAACTTTGAAATAATTGAAAAGGGAAGTCGACAAACACACGGTTTGTAATAACGTAAAAATAAAAAAAATATCTCAATGAAAAGACAGGCATTAAGCGAGAGTCTACAACCGTTTGAGTGTTTTTCGTTCTATTGTTGTCAACGAATCCCTTCCTTCAACAGATCTTTGCAAATTGGTCCTCTATTATATTTTAATTATAAGCAGCATAATGTCATGTAAGAGTTAGCACATTGTTGGCCGGGCCTCTCGCTTATACACGGTGTGCTCTTTGAAGGTAACTGCTTTCGTAAAGCTATTCTTCTGTGTTTTTTTCAACACGTAATAATTTACTGAAATATTTATACTTCACTCGTTTAACTGCTTCACAGGACAGGAATATACAAAGAAATTTAATTTTTTAAATAATTTTATGATTTTCACAGCCCTTATCAGCAAAATCAGCCTTGTGTTATGTCATGGGAATTATCTTACTGGTAACGTAAAAAGGTAATTGCCAAAATGCTTTTTCTGTACTTTGATGCAGTATGGGGTCATTTTTCATCTGTATGGGTGAATTGTGCTGAACATTATGCTTTTAAATATCGCAAAAATGTCAAAATTTGAGTTAATCGTTTAAAGGTAATATTTAGCAGTTTACTGCATCTGGTCTCCAGATCACCCCCGGCAATGTAACGTGCTTGCCAAGGTTTATCATGCGTGTTGCGGTCATAAAAGTGTCATCCGATGTACGTAGCGCAGACAACGGCAGGGTGGACGTTACTACACCTGGACAACCCATCGGTGGGACGGACTCCCCCCTCCCAACACAACCTGCTGGGGGTCACAGGAAGGCAGTCTTACGTCACTTAACAGGGGCATATATACTCAGAGGTAATTGGTCCCATGGGTGTCATAATCATTACTGTTTTACGAACAGATACCTCACGATTATTTTGTTTTCTGTGAAGAATTAAATTAGATTTAAATTCTGAAAATATTTTTTTCGGTTTTCTAAACTTCAAACTCCGTCAAGTAGTTAGAAGTGTGATTGTTGTTAGGTATGATTTACCAGGCTTGCCTAGGTATGCACATCTGTAGGGTTAATGAATAGAAATCTAATGAATGAATGTACAATGTATGTATGTATGTATGTATGTATGTATGTATGTATGTATGTATGTATGTATGTATGTATGTATGTATGTATGTATGTATGTATGTATGTATGTATGTATGTATGTATGTATGCATGCACGCACGCACGTACGCACGCATGCATGCATGCATGTATGTATGTGTAACATAACGTAGAAGTATTTCCGCATACATTGTTCATGCATGTAGGTATGTGAAACAACCACGTAAAAGCTGATTTCCGAGATACACCTTGTTCAGATTTTGGTTGATTATATGTTTTGAACGAAACCATTTTAAAGTGCTGATTTCTATTGACGTCGTCATCCTTCGTTTCAGATTTTGTGTTCTAATATTTATGTTCATGTATATATTCCGTTTCAAAACTCAAGGACAAGCAATCGAAACATTCATTTAACGACTTTGTTTTTTTATACATTTTTGTGTGTGTAATCGCGTTCTTTTTCAGGGTAATACTAGTCTTAATTCTCTATCAAACGAAAATGTATGTTTGTAAATAAAGGAAGCAAACAGGATTTGGTGGATTTGTAAACACGAAGCTATGGTATGTCACTGCGAGAGCAAGCACGTGGCTCATTCTCAAAGTAGGCGTGGCTTCCAGTGGTAGATCACAGAGCCTTGCCAGTCCAGTTGTATGATTGACAGCTATACACTGCTCGGCGGTGTGTTCAGCGCCTCACTTAATCCCGCCCACTTAGTAGCCGATGTGCGCGCCTAAGCGAATCGTGCCGCGCGGAAAATAGTCCGTGGCTGATACGTGAACAGTTTCAGATATATCGACTGACAGTTGAATGTGAGTAACATTTACATCTAGTCTGCGTTCGGGCAGGAAAACCCTGCTCGCTTCTCCACGTAAGGATTGTTTTGAATCAGTAAGGGGCAATATAAACGAAGCGGAGTGATTGTGACGAGCCCATGTCAAGTGTTGTTCATTTCAACCAAACATACACGCAGTTTCTACAGTGTTGGTGTATCAGTGGGTTGTCGAGAGGCCCGAGTGTGGGGTTCCAAGCATAGACTCAGCCGGGGTGATCACCGGCCGTGCAGTGGTCAGCGGACGGACTCGGACATTGAGGGAACACGGCTACCCTCGGGATGGAGTACCCCGAGTTACGGGTCGTGTGTGTGCTGCTGGCGTGTTTAGTCGCCAGCATTGAGGGTATGTCTCATTACCGTGACGGGATACTGAACGATAACGCTAAGTGTGAACCTATCTCTATACCCATGTGCCTTGACATGCGATACAACTTCACTCGTATGCCTAACATGGTGGGACATAGCAATCAGAAGGACGCGGCTATTCAAGTTCACGAATTTTTACCACTTGTTCAAATCGGATGCTCCAAACTTTTGAAGTTTTTCTTGTGTTCCCTGTATGCCCCAATGTGTTCCGACATGGTGGAGGAGACAATGATCATCCTAGCTTGTCGGTCCATGTGCGAGAAGGTTAAGAAGGAATGTGCTCCTGTCTTAGCAAGTTTCAACTTTCCGTGGCCTGAGATGCTCTCGTGCGAGAACCTCCCTGACAAGAGCAACAAGGACAACTTGTGTATAGAGGCTCCCAACGTGACTGAGGAGCCTGAATTTAAGACCGGAGCACCTGTTGAGCCGAACTTCGATTCATTCAATCCAGAACTCAGGCGAATATTCGAGTCATTCAGGAAAACAACAACAGAACCTTCCAAATACGGACGTCCCCATTATAAGGACAGTGACATCTGTCCAACAAGGTTCGTGCACGTGGAGAAACTTGAAGGTAACAACTCGTGTGCCCCGCGCTGTGATATCGACGTGTATTTCCGTGAGGAAGACAAGGCCTTTGCTGAGATATGGATGATTGTATGGGCGTCAGTATGCTGTCTGTCAACAGCCATCACTGTGTTGACCTTCGCCATCGATACGTCCCGCTTCAAGTACCCCGAGAGACCGATAATATTCTTATCAATGTGTTACGCTATATACTCCGTAGCCTACATGATCCGAGCAATCACGGGTCCTGGAGCTATCTCGTGTGACAGGGGTCGGGATGGACGGGAGTTCCTCATCCAAGAAGGACTCGAGAGTACGTGGTGCATCATCGTCTTCCTCATCCTCTACTTCTTCGGGATGGCCAGTTCGATATGGTGGGTCATCCTCACGGTTACATGGTTCCTCGCGGCTGGACGCAAATGGGGCCAAGAGGCCATTGAAGCTCTGAGTAGTTACTTTCATTTAGCAGCGTGGGCCATTCCTGCTATTAAGACAATCATCATCCTGACGATGAGGAGGGTGGATGGCGACGAACTTACAGGTCTGTGTTATGTGGGTAATCAGGATACCGACGCCCTAACGGGGTTCGTCCTGGCCCCGCTTATCGTGTATCTTATTGTAGGCACGGTGTTTATACTTGCAGGATTCGTGGCGTTGTTCCGAATACGAAACAATCTCAAACACGAAGGCACAAATATTCGCAAACTGGAAAAACTTATGGCCAAAATTGGAATATTTTCTGTTTTATATACTGTACCAGCGACTTGTGTTATTGGGTGTTTGTTTTATGAAAGAATGAATTTCAGTCGGTGGCGGACACTTGCAATGCTGCGGCAGTGCCATGGGAGGGAGGACTGTCACCTAGAGCATTCAATACCCACAGTAGAGGTGTACATGCTCAAGATCTTCATGTCACTCGTGGTGGGTAGCACCAGTGGAATGTGGATCTGGAGCTCTAAGACAGTTGCTTCTTGGAGACAGTTCTTCTCGGCCAGATTCTCCAGGAGGAAGTCAAACTACAATGCCAACTACCACCAAGCACCTGTTATAGTCATGAAACAGCAGCATGGACCAAAGTGTATGCCAAAAGTTGCTGGTTCCAGAGTGTGATTCTTCTACTGCCAGGAACTGATTTCCACAGAGTATGACTGAGTGAGGATTTCACAAAATGGCAACTATTATTACAAAGCATTTTTTGCCAAATTCTCATGATCATTGTTATATAGTCACCGGATCTCATTTTCATATCACGTGACCGTGGCTTGTGTTTGTGACGACAGAGAGAGTTTGTGTGGTGTTGATGGACAAGATGAAGAAGAGGAAGATGGGAAATACACTGACTGCCAATGTATGACGTTCTGTTTAATTTTGTCACTTTTATACCTTTTCATTACCGCAGACAGCGGAACATTTTTATCATGGAATTTTTTACTTTTCTCAGGATGCTTAAAGGTAAATTTAACTTATTTAAGTCTTAGTCCCTTTCCAAGGTTTGTAAGGTTTGTGAAAATGTCACCAGGTCTGGTAGGCCGTCAAGTCACCTGGATGCACTAAAGAGAAACATTTCCCCGCCTAAAGGCCCTTGGGTATAAAATTCGGCAAATCTCAGAGAAAGCAATGCTGTTTACTTAGTTCTTCCCATCCCTAAGCATGAGAGCACATAGAGAAGAGCTCCTCGCCCGTCTCTCAGTTAACGGATACGTTCAAAGACAGCCAAGTGAGTCAATATGAGGGCCCGCTATTGACAAACACAGTGTGCCGGAGTCCCTATCTGTCGGCTTAGCTATTGTAACGATGTGTCGGGGGGCGATCAGCTACACAAACCAGTGTCCATACCTGTGGCCAATGCAAGTTAGCACGCTAGACAAGCAATGTAGATAAGGGGGGTTGTACTGGGTAGAAGTTCATCGTAATATGAGATTGATTAGAACCGGGGCAATCGTCTATCAATCATGATGAGAAAACAAGTTTTATCTGCGGAGAGAACACGAATTCCTGTGTCAACCATCTGACGGTCGATGTCTCCGCTTTGGCCGTACAAGAATTTGCTTTGAACTCCAATGTATCTGAACATAGGGCTTGAGACGGCCGCAGTGATAGGTCTGCTTTGTTGGGTCAATTATCAATATTATTGATGAATACTAAACCCCTAATTTCATACATGATATGGATTTGGGAAAGCAGTACAAACACGAACGCCTTTGATGTAGTTTGAAAGTATTTTCCTTACGTAAGAAAAGCATTTATAATCGATCGCGCTATCAGTAGTGTTTTTATCAAAGGAATTTCAATGACAAAGTGTTTGCTATGCGTACGCGCAAGCGTATGACATGCAATGCGTGAACTGTTTATTCTGACTTGAACTATCTAACCTCTCGGTCAAAAAACATTGGAGATAAGTTTCCGGTATAAATATTTATAAATTAATTGGAACCACGTAAGGATCCACAAGTTTCATTATGCTAGAGCCGGGCTAAAGTATTTCGCTCGGGCTGTAGTTTGCAATAGCTTTAAACGGGAACAGTACATTGCCACGGAACATGACTGAACGTAACTCGCTTGGGCTGTAGTTTGCAATAGTTTTAAACGGGAACAGTACATTGCTTAAGGAGCAAGACGGTTTCCTGAACAGGAAATTAATGAACATTTGGACAAATCCCTTGTGCCCTATTTGTAATCGGCGCTACCAGCTCAGTGTTCAATATCCGAGTCAACTATTGACACGGGATTGTGTATACGGAAATACTAAATCTAACCAACCCGGGCGTATATGGGCAACGTAACGGTTCTTATCAGTCGGGTGATTTACACTGGTTGATTCTGAGTGGAAGAGTCGCTCGTTCTGATATGAACAAACAATTTAAGGCACTGCTTGTGTAGTTGAATGGTGTCAGTCGGGGCAAACCGATATGAATTATTACCTAATAAAGTATGTCATTTGAAACTGATACCGACATTAATCAAACTGTATCACATATACGTGTTGAGTTAAGCAGCATCTCTAAGCCGAAGAATTACAACAAATTCGATCGATATATATACGATGAATGTAAATTGGATAAGCGTTAGCGCAAAGGGCTAAACTGCATGAATACCTTTGAAACATTTTTCAAAGGATCAGTGTAAAAGTGCTTCTCACATCTTGTTTCAACCGTTAAATGATCCCAACCAATACTACCTCAAAGAACGAAATTATTATGAAAAAAGTACAAAAGCGTAAGAAATATGGTCCATTTATACATAAATTCACCGTGATAAAAGGTTTCTAACATAAATTTGCTCATGCTTGAAATAGGCAGATCTACGGACCTCCGTGTCATTGATTGGAACGTTTATGATCTAAGCTGGGCATTATGATACCTACGGTACGAGGGCACTGTGCAGTCGTTGATCGATCAGTGAATGACAGGCTTGCCATCTCATCGATTTTACGTTGACAGCAGGACTGATACTTGTGGTGACGATGCCTCTTAAACGTCATCGGTATTTTCCTCTGAATAGTTGTTAGAGTTTATGTACTGCAATAAATCGCAGTGGATTAGAAAAAGTGTGAAAATGTTCTACGATAATTTGAGAAGGCTGAAAGACATCAAAGACATATATAATTAACAGTTTCAAGTTTACAGAAAAACGTTTCGACGGGAAATATAAAGAATGTAATTCAAAGCCAATAAATGAACGTCAACGTACATAAAACAGTGCAATAGAATACCCAGCCTTTACTATCCTCAGAAACAGAAACCATTTAGTGTTAAAAAATACGGTGAAACTTAACCGTTTCAATGATGAAAGCTATCAAATGTATTGAAAACATCCACCGAATATTGTAAAATGATATTTCGTATAAAATATTTGATGAATCTCAGATCTTTTTCCCATTTTAAATTTGAGGAGTAGAAAGTGTTTGAGGTCGTTTGAGTGCAGCTCGTAAAACCCAGGATGTTTTAATAGAGGACTGGGCTAGGGCTTCCATAAGCCTTTAATATGTCAAAAAGAGGGAGCAAAATGGGCCCAGTTGGTTATCTGGATGGACTAAGGTTGTGCCCCCCACACTGTATCCCAATTGGTTGATCAGGCGTGCTACAGCTCTGTTCTACATGGTGCAGATTTTATGAGTCTTGTAATGTGATCAGGTCTAATTTCAACAGGTATTGAAACGGATTATACCGGAGACTGCTATGGGATGGTGAGGGTGGTGTTTGGTGAGAGCGATTTGTTACCCCGTAGTAGAAGGCTACGTGTTTATGAAGAGCAAGAAAGGACGCTCTTCTTTGTTGCTAGTGGGTCCGTCAAGGAACGAGATCATTTACAGATGGGGCAATTTACACATGTGTACATTTCTTTCATGTTTCCTTTCCCCTAGGAGTATCTACACTTTCCCCACAACATGCTTTCTCCTCCGAGCTGCCGCCGATTTCCCTTTATATGGGGGAACATCTGACTCATTGCGCGGGAAGAGTGTCCCTTGACAAAACTTAAAAGATCACACGGGGTTTCTCAAAAGTCAATCTCTTTTCAGCCAACATCGAGATGCATTACTTGACATTTACACAAATCTTCAGATCTCCCTTTTCACAAAGCTGGATATGTTTTCTGATATGTCTTAGGTTATGAAGATGATCTAAAGCTTTATTTCTGAGTACGGCAACGTGTCTTCACAAGAAATCTTCACATTTGTATGTATTACTCGCCACTCTCCATGTTTGTGTTCATTCAACCACAGGCGTTTTTTCTGTTCTTGCAACAGAGGTTAAATAAATTATTTGTTGTCAAACTAATGAGAACGCGTTGTTGTGTACGAAACAAACAATGACGGAGTTCTGTGTGTTTTCGGTTCTTTTGCACGAGGACACCACACAAAGAGTACGTCATGTGATCTCGACAGTCTCGTCATGCGTGAGTTGCAAACGAGAGACAGATGACATTCTGTGCGGAACTGCTCTTGGCGGCCATCTTGTTCGCAGGATGCACTAATTGCTCCAGACATTACTTCTGCGAGGAACTTCTAACTGAGAATTCCTGCAATAATTTCTCTCGCTTACCATATCGAGGGGTGCCTCACGGATCTGGAATCCCTGGCATAGACATTCCATTCCTGCAGAATCTGTCACAAACACCGTGGATGGTTCGGGATCAAAAGTTCCAAATCATAATTCTTGGCAGTAATGTAATATAATAGATCTTTTTGTCATTTCCCATTTTGCTCTGCAAATACCAAACATCCCAAAGCTCAGGATTGATGGAGAAACATATTGGTTTAAGTTTCGCTCGATACAACGAAAACCCGGGTTCGATTCCCTTCACGGATACATATGTGAAATCCATTGTAGCCCCGGACATTATATTGTTGGAATATCGCTAACAGTGGCTTTAAATCACATCTAAAAACATCACTTATTCAAGTTTGTTTTATTCATTTGTTTTAAAAACACAACAAAACAAACCCATTTGCTTCATCCAGGAAGATCATACGATTTAACAATGCGTCAAATGCATTTAAAGGCGGTGGGGTAGCCTAGTGGTTAAAGCGTTTGCTAGTCACGCCGAAGGCCCGGGTTCGATTCCCAACATGGGTACAATGCGTGAAGCCCATTTCTGGTGTCCCCGCCGTGATATTGCTGGAGTATTTAAAAGCGGCGTAAAACCCAACTCACTCAAATGCATTCAAGTTTCTTTTGCATTCTACAGTGTTATATATGGCAAGAACGTAGACTCACGAGTATTAAGTCAAGTCCTTGAACGAAACGTCATTCTTTTGAGTCGCCTAGGCACACATTTACATTTACATTTGCAATTCAAATGCGACATTCTTGTTAGGCAAGGATCTCAGTTCTCAATATGTTCCAGGTTAAAGGCGAAGCATCAAGTATATTGCTTGTGTATTGCAGTCATCCACGAATATTCCACATACAGACCACTTTGATTGTGTCTTTAAAACTCCCGTGACATCGACAGATAACCTTATATAACGCATTTCACATAGTTTCCTCACGTGTCAAGTCTACGGGTGAAATAACAGTCATGCCTGAGGGTCGCGATACCAACAGGTTTTCCGTGTTGAAATGTTGTCATGACAACTGCCCTCGGGGTTCAGACTCTGTCAAGAACCCATAACTCCATCAAACTGGATCAACCTTTCAGAAAGTTTTGTTTTCAAGAAGTTGTAAACTCTTTGTGGTGTTTAATTGGCTGTTTTGACAATCGTTTATATTGCATCACTGGTTTGGGGTGAACCTCCGTCGGTTAATTGTTGTTGATAGTGGCGATAAAATGAGAAGTGATTCAGTATAGAAGTCTGTGAAGCAATAATTGGTTTAATTCGGTATAGAAGTTTGTGGAGCAATAGTTAGTGTAATAGGTTCCTTTCAGTGGTGTTTAACAAAACAAAACCCACTGACAAACAATAGCTAAGTGAGAATATAACACAAATAGATACCATGTAGACATTGTTTCACAGCTGTACAATACAGCTCTTAGCTTGATAACGATGTAATAATCTACATCGAAACGTCGCTTAACGCAATAAACCAGAAGTTGTCATCCATAAAGTTATGATTACACACTCGCGGTGGCTGAGCGGGTTAGGCGGCTGACTTTGTGTGCTGGCGATTAGGTGCCTGACTCTGAGGGTGCGAGTTCGAATCCCGGATGGGGCTCAACTGAAAAAAAAGTACTAGAATTTGTACTTTACTAAGAAAGTGTAATCCCAAATATAACATATGTTACATCCATAAAGTTGTATGTTTCATTTGTACAATACACTTTGACAAAACAACATGAAGTACTGTTAAGTACTGGGACGTAAAAGTAACGAAATTTGTGATAGTATTATCTTTCTTGGAATTATTCCATAGTATATTACTCAACAGAAGTTAAGCACAACCGATTAATCTGTCAATAGATATCTTTAACTTGAAAGAGATTGTTCTTAACGTATTTTGGGTAGTATAGTTCAATGAAGAACGAAATACACATGACTCAAAGGACAAACGAACATAAATTCCTCTTAAACGTTATACCTTGAATAAAATGACTTAACAACGAAACATAACCTTTCTCCAAGGCTGTACTGAATGTTAAGCTAAAAGATGTATAGTAATTCAGTCCTTTAAAGAGGCCAGTTGATAAGTGGACAGTGCATCTAAGGACGCCAGTGTGTTAGAGGGACGTGTTAATGTTGTTTACATATTTTAGAAATTATCATTTAAACTATTAAGTATTACCCCAGAGACATGTGTAAGTCTAAATGAAAGACTGTGCACCTATTTGCAAGCGAACAGTAGATATGCACGCTGTCCGGTCCGATGAATATAAGCGTACGTTATACGTACAATCTAAACGAAGAGTGACAGTCTCCGTCTTGCATCGTAAAGGAATGCGTTTGATGCACGCCCTAAGCCTGAACCAATGCATGGTAGCGTATGAAGTCAATGTTTTTAATCATCTAACCGAAAACACCCATCGTAAACTTGACCAGATTCATTCACTCACAGCACTGCATATACAGGTAAACAGGTTGTGTAAGCGGCAATCGAAATATACAGGCTTGGTATATTAAATTGTTTCATTTCTATTTACTGTTACCTTTGTACATCATGCTAGCTAAGTATAACTTTTTTCTATGATATTTTTCAATTAATTATTATTAATAATCATAACATTTTTTATGAATTGTAGAGAACATGATCATAAAATGATAATACAAATAAGGCAGGTAATTTAATGTCTAATTTAGAAATATTTATCCTTTGATCAACTTTCTCCATATGGATACATATCACACTGAACTAACGAACAGACATGTAACAGTAAGCTACATTTCCTTTCTTCAGGGAATATAGATCCGGATTTAGTTTGTTTTGAAACGACATTTTTTCACTGTCTGAAAAATCCACAATATTAAATTCAGACTTAATTAGTCGGCTATTTCTTGCTGTGTAAGACATTTCATTATGAATCATCTTTATTATTTTCTGATATAGTTTTCGATAGTAGGTTTCGGTAAGCAATAGGTAAATTGAGGGGGAAAATGCACACTGAGTATTTTTATGATAATCAAAAGTGAAAGAACTGTTGTTATATTTAATGAAGGATAACAAAATATAGATGAACAACTTCTTTAATACATCCATATTTTGTTATATATACTTCAATACTGCTCCATATTCCGAAAGCCCTTCAAAGAAGTTATTGAATTATTGATTATGTCTAATTTCTCATCACTAATTCCCGTAACAGTAATCTTAGAAGTAATCTTATGCTGAGTAATACTGTGTAAAGATGAACTGGTTCGAAAATGACTGGGGTAAGATACAAATTAGAAACCATGTTTGAAATGTTGTAAATTTGTGTTGAAAAAAGAAAGTATATTCAGACACGATGTATTTTCACAGTTTATTATTACTTTTAAAAGTTTTGAATCAAATTATATTTAAAGATAAAACCAAGCAGAAGTATTCTTCGGTTGCTCACTAAGCTCCTGCACGGTTAGTACATGTACATTTATATACATGCAATATCGTTGACTTAAGTTATTTTAAATTTGATACAATCAACTGAGACAAAGTTTTCTGACTACTTAATTAATATATAACATGTTCATGAGCTGAAGCTCCAGACACCAAGTATGACTAGTACTGAGGAGGTGCCTGAAGACAATTAACTACGTTGTTGTGGCCTTACGTGCACCAAAGCGAAGATGGACTGCAGGGTACATGCACACCACACACACCAACAATATACACACAGCCGACATTTCTCCTGTACAGACAGATTTACGTATTTGTGGCCATGTAACCTATATAGTGCGATGCCATTTCACTCACGACATTTGTTTTGCCCGCCACAAATGTACCGTGGTTGATGTTAATACATTAATTCACATTAACCTACCCCAACGTCCGCACTACTGCTACTACTACTGCTGCTGCTGCTGCTACTACTACTACTACTACTACTACTACTACTACTACTACTACTACTACTACTACTACTACTACTACTACTACTACTACTACTTCTACTACTACTGATTTATGGAACAGTTATGAATATAAATTTAATGACCTGAGACATATTACATCCTTTGAAAAAACTACAAACTGAAAAGTACATACGGAACTGTGCCGCTTTATGTGAATATTACACCACAGTAATATCTAGAACAGAGTTGGAATGCAACACCTTGACTGATGTGTCTCTGCTAACTATGATTTGTAGTATATATAGATTTATATTCAACAACTACCATCACTTTCGATCACACACACGCGCACAGAGAGAGAGAGAGAGAGGGGGAGGGCGAGAGGGATACCGATAGAAAGAGAAAGACAGTGGGGAGCGAGAGAAAAAGAGAGACAGATTGAGAAAGACAGATCTAGAGAGAGAGCACAAGCGAGAGGACGTAGTTTTTGTGTTAAACAATCGAGCGCCGCTGTATGTGAAGAATACAGGTTAGTAAAGTTCAAATATTGGAGAGAGAGAGAGAGAGAGAGAGAGAGAGAGAGAGAGAGAGAGAGAGAGAGAGAGAGAGAGAGAGAGAGAGAGAGAGAGAGAGAGAGAGAGAGAGAGAGAGAGAGAGAGAGAGAGACATGTATTTCCTGTATGTTGTGCCGACACGGTAACATAACTTATAACAAAACCTGCACAGTTTATATTCTTACTCTTGGGGAACAAGTCTGAATTTGTTTTCAAGTTCTACTTTGGTTGATATCGTCACAGCTGATGGTTTGTATGTTTCTCTTTGCTGTGATCCTCGTGAGTTCATTTAGATAACATC